CCGCACAAGAGGTGGTCCCACTACCTCAGGCCTTGGTTAAGCACTCCCCAAGTGCCAGCACAGCCCCGATGAGGCCCCAGGCCCACGCACTCGGTGTCCCCACAAGCCAAGCGTGGGACCTGGCTGGCCTGGAAGCAGGACAGGAGAGAGGCTGGCGCCAGCTCATTAGCTGCACTTCCAGTGCCAGGAACCCGAGTTTCCAATGCCAAAGGCTGGTGTTTTCATCCACAGTAACACGGGCATGTGCCCCCTTACACCCATCTGAAAGGCTCTGCGCTGTCCCGGGGACCTACCTCATAGATATTGGGGTGCCTGGGACCTGGCTGGCCTGGAAGCAGGACAGGAGAGAGGCTGGCGCCAGCTCATTAGCTGCACTTCCAGTGCCAGGAACCCGAGTTTCCAATGCCAAAGGCTGGTGTTTTCATCCACAGTAACACGGGCATGTGCCCCCTTACACCCATCTGAAAGGCTCTGCGCTGTCCCGGGGACCTACCTCATAGATATTGGGGTGCCACATTTTGGTTAAGAACCTAAAGGCAGGAGGGGAATAGGGGTAGTCGATGGGAAACCGGAGGCGAGCCTGCAAGGAAACAATGAGGAGAAGTGAGCATCAGCTTGTGAGGAGGGAGGGAAGGAAACCACAGAGAAAGGAACCTCTGCCAAGTCCCTCCGTGCTCCTGCAGGGTGAGTGATCCCCATCCTGCTGTCCCGGAATGGGTTGGGTGGGAAGAGACCTTAAAGCTCCTCCAGCTCCAACCCCCTGCAACAGGCAGGGACACCTTCCACCAGAGCAGGTTGCTCCAAGCCCCTGTGTCCAACCTGGCCTTGAACACTGCCAGGGATGGGGCAGCCACAGCTCCTCTGGGCTGTTTCCCGCTCCAGAGCTCAGAGAGAAGGAAGCATCAGGTGCTCAGAGCTCTCACAGCACCCTGAGGCTCTAAAAATAGCCCGAAAGAAGAGAGAGCCCGAGTGGAGACTGGTCACAGCACGTAGCTCAGGTGCTAAAAATAACAGCCCATGAAGATCATGCTGCAGAGCACGGCTCCAGCGCCGCAGGGACAGGCTCTGAGGAGAAGCCAGACGTGGCCCAGAGACACAGAGCAACGTCCCCAGGGGCCAGGAGCAACTTCTCCCCACGTGCCGCACAACCCTCGGTGGCTCTTTCAGGTGCTTCTAGAAGGAAATGTTGAGGTTCAGCCACTGCTCAATGGCCAAAATGGGGAAGGTTTAAAGCACCCAACAACTCCCTGAGCATCTCCTGCTTGTGTGCAGCAGAATGCACACACTGGGGCTGGGAAGCAACAGTTGGAACTACCCCGGCTCTGCCCAGCAGCGCGTGATCGGGAGCTGGGATTGTTCTTCACCCATGAGCCCGTTTGGGAAAGGAACTGCAAAAAGAGGCTTTGGATGCTTCTGGAATCAGGGCCTCAACAATAGGGGACGCTGCCAAAGCTGGTTGGCAGCCAACAGCCATGAAAAGATCAGTGTGGAGGACAGAGAATCGCCCTCCTCCTCCCTACCCTGACCAAGGAATCCATCCTGGAGCCTGCTTCCACCCCCTGGCACGTGTTGATCCTATCAAGAGCCCAAGAAGCTGCTCAACTCCAGGGAATCAGCCCCTTTTGGTGTGTTGGAGGGAGCAGAACAAAACCAGCCCAGGGCAAAGCGACCCCATGGGGGCTCAGAAGCCCCCCCCGCCGCTGCTGTACACAAACAGGATGACATTCCCACCGCCTGGAAGAGGACTCGGCCCCTTCGCTCTCCTCCGAAGCGGGAAGCTCCATCCAGTGCCACCCAACAGCGCCGGGTGGGGAAGCTCTCGGGCACTAAACGGAGGTGCTGGAAGGGCGAGAGTTCAAAGGGCCGGGTGCCAAAGGAGCCAAAAGAGGAGGGAAAAGGCTCCGTTTCGTCAGTAAAGAGCTAAAACCTGGCTCCGAAGGGGAAAACAAAGCAGAGCTGCCCCTCAGGCTGACTCACCCGGCGCATCCCCACCCTGCCAGCAACAGGATGGAGACACAGGAGCTGGTAGCAGAGGAGGGCGGATGAGAAAGAGGAAGAAAACAGCTACACGGGTTGCACAACACCTGGGACGAGCCTCCCCCCCCCCCCGACCCCCAACCCCCGCCACAGCCCCCGCCCCCTGTCCAGCACCAGCTGCTGCTCACATCTGGGCCTGCCTGGGGGGGCCTTTCCCTTCGTCTCTTCCCCCCGCTTTGGTGGCGAGGCCCCGATCCCCTCCAGGAGACGCAACACCGAGGCCCAGCGCTCAGCGCCACGGGGACGGAGGGGACAGGAGGCCCTCAGAGGGGGAACAACCCCACCTCACAATGGGGGTACCCTCGCCTCGTTGGGCGGCACCACCCGCACGCCCCGGCTCCTCCTTGCAAGCACCCCACAACACCCCGGCTCCCAAAGC